CAGTCAGAATAACTAAGAGTAAAAAAAAAAAAAAAAAAAAAAGAATGATAAGTGCGGGTTAGGCTATGATGAAAAAGGAGCTCTCCTACACTGTTGTGGGAATGTAAAAAGTAATACAGCCACTGTGGAGAACAATATGGAGGATCCTGAAAAGCCTACAGATAGAATTACCATATGACCCAGCAATCTGACTCCTGGGTATCTACCCAAAGGATGGGAATACATTCTGCTGAAAAAATACTTGCACATTCATGTTTACTGTGGCATTGTTTAAAATTGCTAAGGCATGGAATCAACCCAAATGTCCAAGAACAGATGAACAAATTTAAAAAGTGCAGCACATATACACTACGATTACTACTCAGCTGTTAGAAACAATGGGACTCTGGCATTTGTTAAAAAATGGACAAATATGGAAGATTTAATGCTGAGCAAAGCAAGCCAGACTATGAAAGAGAGGCATTGTATGTCCCCTCTTAATATATACCAATGTCTCCACTCTATGGCAGAAACTGAAAGATTGAGTAGCATAGAAATATTGAGAGCAAATGTGGATACGAAAGACAATATGGGAGGAGGGTGAGCAATGGGAGTTGGGCAAAAGAGACTCAAGGGAAAAAAAAGAAACATAACCTTTAACAGACATAGAAATGGAAAAATTATTTGTTGATGATGATGTGCTTAGTGATATTTTTGAGTGAACTAATATATAGTGTCAATGCTGGAAAAATTAATTGTGTATGCTGTAAAGATGCACAGTGACTGAAGTGATAAAAAGTTAATTAAAGAGGGTAAGATATCTGATTTGTAGGAGTCCGATTTCAAAACCCAATCTTCTGTATTGGCTCAATCTCACAAACATAATACTGAATAAGAGAGGCCAGACACAAAAAAGCACACATTTTGGTATGGTTGTATTAAAAATTGGAATATTAACAGGATAGTGATTACTTTTGTTTGGTAATAACTGAAAAGGATTATGAAGGAGTCTTCAAAAACTTTGCTAGTAATCTCTTCATCAGAGTAGTGGTTACATGAATGTGTTCTTATTTGTAAAAGTTCATCAATCGGTAAACTTATCAATTGTGCACTTCTCTGTTTATGTGTTATATGTCAACAAAATGTTTACTTGGGGCTAGGCAAGTGGTGCCACAATAATGCAGCCATATCCATACAGGAATGTTCTGGATTTGCTTCATAGAACCTCCCTGTGCACACTGGGCATGCACATTCCTGCCCATGACTGACCAGCTGAGACTGTGAAGAGATCATGGCATGATGACTATCGATGGTGCTTGTCTCTTTAACTCTCTTATGAAAGAAATAAGTTAAATATATATATATATATATATATAGCTTATTTAACTCAACTACAGTGTCCAACATTATGATATATCTATATAAATTAACTAGTTTTCAAAAAAACACATTTTTTAGTGTTTGTGGCAGTATGTTTTAAGAAACAGTAATATTTTGTTAAAATTTAAAAATTACTAATCGGAGGGCAAGCGGGTGCCATGGTGGTTAGTTAAGGTGCTGGTGGTTTGAGTACTGGACCTGGTGACTCAAAAAAAAAAAAAAATACAAAATAAAAAACAAAAAACAGCCCCTATGCAAGCATGTTTTAAATCCCAAGACGAGAATGGAAGAGAAGTGATTGCGGCATGGCCACCTCCCTGGGAGAGGGGGGAACAGGGAGTGTTTCTCACTTTACTTCTCTTTGTCTCTCTCTGGCAAGCACATAAGCACACATGCCCTATGGAAAAATCATTTTTTTAAAAATTGCTTATTGGTTAGATCCTATATTAACTGTACTTATCACAAAAAGTGTGTGTGTGTGTGTGTGTGTGTGTGTGTGTGTGTGTATTTGATCATGGTTGGGTCTTAGAAAATAATTCATGACCAGGCTTTAGTCTGGGCTATTTGAAAATAAGAACCAGTGAAAAGATCATTTTTCCCTTAAAAGACGAGTCAGTTTGAACCCACCAAACATACAAGAGAGAACTCTATAGAGATTATCTGATTAAACCTACCTTCACATCTAAAAACTTCACATTCCTGAATGGAAATATGATCTTGAGGTAGTCGAAGTTTTTTTCTTACATCTGAGGGTATAGACAATTTTTGATTGTGTAGATTTATACAGAAGTCATCATTTCTAGACATAAATTGAGAGCCAAACAACAAAGAGTCATATGATCTTATTTTATATTCTAAAATTTTAGTCTCTTTAAGTGCAAAAATGATAACAGAAGAAATTTCCTCTTGTTCCTGGTAACTCTCTTGTACATATACTCCTGTAACACAGTTGTCACCATAAATCACTGTTATGGTAGGTCCTTGATTGGAACATCTTCCAAGCAGGTGGTGACGAGAGAATGTATGAACACTAGCCTTATAAAGAAGGCTTAGTCGTTTTTCTCCAAAATGGTTTTGCAGGATCTTTTTTTGCCACCAGGTCAAATTAGTTGTTACCGCCATACTTTCAATCTGGTGAAAGATGGAATGTATTTTCCATTAAATCCTGAAAACCACACAATGTATATTATCACAAAACTCACATTTCCGTCTCTTAATTTGCTCTACATGACATGAGAAACAAATAAACACAAGATGAACATATAGCAAGATAATCATTAGCTATTAATAGCTTTTCATTCCAGATGATTATTTTTTAAAATTTAAAAAGAACAAGAGAGAGAAAGAGACCCTTGTTTATAAGTAGCTAGGAAAGTAGAAAGCAGTAAATAATTTACCTGTTTGTAGCATCTGTGCAAGGGCTAAAGCTGAGGGTGGCTGCTCTGTCTAGACAGCTAAGCAGGCGAAAATGGAAACAAAATTCTCAGCAGCCGTACAGCATCAGAGAAAGGAAACTGAAACTCAGTAAGCCCAGCCCAACTGGCAGCATGCCAACTTCTACTCAGTGAAGAAGTAAACCGACCCAGCTAATTTTAGAAAAGTCTTATGAAAATTAATATTAGGAGAAGAAAGGAAATGAAGTCAGGTGGAAGAAAACATCTTACTGACTATTTTACTGGTTTTAAGGAAAATTCAAAAAGTTCCTGTATATGGACATGCAGCAAAGCCCTATCTATTCTCCAGACTATGTCATGAATTCATTTAGTTCTCTTGATCTCTGCTAACCATTTATTCCTAATACATATCCTTCTGTAGATTGTTATAATCGCCTCCTAACTGATCTGTTTCCTTTTTTCCCCTGGAGACAGGGTCTCCCTGTTGCCCAGACTGGCCTTAAACTTGCAATCCTTCAGCCTCAGCCTCTCAAATAGCTGGAACTATCAGGCATTGGTTACCACTTTTCTTCCTTCTGTCTTCCTCTCTGCCTCTGCTGTTCTGCTTGCTCCTCTCCAGTTCATTCTCCTTGTTGTAGCAGAATCAAATGTCTTGTTTGTATGTAAACTCAATATATCAACCTCAGACTAAAACCCTTTCTCTGACTAAAACCCTTTATGTGTCCTATAGGCTGAATGCAACCTGCAGACTTGTTCTGAAAGGTCAGCACAGATTTTTTTTTTAACTTTCAATGTGAATATTTTAAATCACTGAGTATCTTTTCTCCATTTTTGTATGTAAACTCAATATATCAACCTCAGACTAAAACCCTTTCTCTGACTAAAAACCCTTTATGTGTCCTATAGGCTGAATGCAACCTGCAGACTTGTTCTGAAAGGTCAGCACAGATTTTTTTTTTAACTTTCAATGTGAATATTTTAAATCACTGGGTATCTTTTCTCCATTCTCCGTTGTCCTCTTGTCTTATACCTAACTGACTCTAACAAATTTCAAATTTCAACCTGCCTGGCCCCAAAAAGGAATTTAAGTTTCTGATCTTATTGAAAAATAACAGCAACATCAAAAAATATATATTTAAAGCAGCTTGTGGTTATTAGATATTTAGCTTTAAAAATACAAATTAATGCATGGTAATTATTTACCAGGTAAATGTCCTGCCCTCCTAAAGCTATATTCTTCTTCTTTCTTCTCTGGAAGACAGGCAGGCACTCAGCAAACGAATGTCTAGATAGAAGTGCTATGCAGAAAATAAATGAGAATAAGAATAAAAAGAGTGAGGAAGGAAGGCATATGCTGCTTTAGATCATATCAGGGAAGATGTAACTGATGTAATCCTATTGCAAAACTGTTCTGAATGGAGTGAGGGAGAGAACCATGGAAATTTCTAGAGGAAGAACACTGTAGATAGAGAGAGGGGAAAGTGTAAACACTCTTAGGCAGCAGTTTGCTTCAATAAAAACGTCTGTATGGTTCTAGCAGAAGAAGAGCAGTGTGTGGACACACTTGCCACTTCATGGAAAACAAAGAGTCTTAGGGGGAAATACAGGACCCCTAGAAGGTGATCCCAATACCAGATGAAAGAAAGGTAATGGCTGGAGACTAGAGTGATAGTGCTGGAAATAGTAAAAAATGATCAAATTCAGAATTTCTTGTAAAAATTGAAGAAAGTCAAGAGAACTGACTGTTGGACCAGACATAGGTTGTCAGGGATGGGGTAAGATGAAGTAAAGAGAAAAATTTAGTATGTCCCCAAGAATTTTTGGCTTGAGCACTGGATAAATGGTGGGACTGTTTATTGAGATGAGTCTCCTGAGAGATTTCTTGATGGAAAACCAAGTAGTCTGCCTTCCACTGAATTTTATAAGGAAATACATGATATAGTAGTTGAGTATACAAGACCAGAGACCTGGGAAAGGATTGGGTTGGAAGTTAAATTTGAAAGTCATGAGCATATAAAAATACTTAATTGAAGAGTAAATTTAAATTAATAAAAGCAGTCCTATGGACCTAGCCCTGCCCTCCTCTCCCACTTGTAGAGATAGTAAATATTAAAAGGATTTATCAAGAAAACTAAGAAAGTGTGACAAGAAATCTATAAGAAGGTCAGAAGAGTTAGTCATTCTAGGAGGCAAGTGAAAAAAGAAGCAAGCAATCAACTGCAGCGAATGATGGGCTCTTTCTTTCAAAGCCTCCTCCTCTTGCACATGCAGAAAGAGTTTATTTTTGGAGAGCTATGAATTTGAGGGATATTCTTATTTAACTGTGAGGACAGGGCATTTTGTTAGAAGCAAGGGTAAATCCTACCTCCCTGCAATGGGAATGCTAGAAAGTACTAGATATGGAGATTGTAGCTCTGCTGCCACAGAGGGAAAGTGCAGAGAAGCTGTCTGTGAAGCTGAGTTACACACCATGGTCTGTTATGAACAGAGTCCTGCCCTGCCCACAGCGAATCTTCAAGGCCAAGTAGTTTCATTTCACTACTTTTATTAATGCTCCTGCCAAACCAACCAGTTTTCTGAGAGTCCAGGTGCTTTCATTTTTCTCATCGTGGCCAATCTTTATAGGTCACTCACTGGTGGTAAGAAAGGCTTTGAAGCTGACTGCAGCAGAGGAACATGAAATGATTTCCAAAAATTGTAAAAAATGGAACAGACTCAGAAAGAGAATGCTGGATTACAAGAAGGCTTTGGAGATGAACAAGTCTTAAACACAGTGTTTTAGTCATCTGAAAAATGTCCATTGATCTTGTTTTTCCTTGAAAGACTTGGAAGAATAGGAGTCCTCTCTTTTTCCACTTTGAAGACTGTCTCAAGAACTCCAATTTAAGAAGGAGAGGCCTGGCAAGCATCTGTCAGAAGACTGAGATTGTTAGGGTAATCTTTGACAAACCTCCTATAACACCAAATGAACTGAAATTAAAAATAAATCAATAAATAAATAGTCTTAACTTCTTAATTATAAAGGAGCAAGACATGGCGATGAGAGAAGAGATCATGTGGTAGTCTGTAATTATTTCATATTCTATCAAGAAATGTTGTGAGATTGGCATCTATCAAGACATAGTTTAATCCTATCCTACCCCACCCCTGAAAATAATCCAATAATTTATGTAGTTCTTGCTCATGATGATATAAATTATTTCCAAATAAAATAATACCTTTGTGTCATGGGGTTTATTTGTTTGAGTTGTGCTGGGGAAGAGGGTGTTGCAGGGGCACCTGGATATTGACTGACTGACCCTGCGTTTTCTCCACTATCGGAGAAGTTTTTGTCATGGTTTGAAATGGGTGAAAGAATTTCTATCTTGCTTAGATTGATGACAAAAAAACAAATCAACTTAATCAACTGTCCTCCACAGAGTGGCTCAGAGACTCATCACATTAGGGATGGGATTTGGGGGCTTCCAAATCTCCACTGCTTTTAGGGACACCATGAGGATTTTAACCAGTTTTGCCATCTTGTGACTATATTAGCATCACATTGAGTTTTAACCATAAAAGGTAGTTACTTATTTGCTAGTCTCTGAAGTTCTGACTTATTGAGACTCCCCAATTAACCTTTTCATATTAATTACAAGCCAAATTTTCTATGGAGAAGGAACATGATACTCTTTAAAATTACTTTTCTAACAACAACAAAAAAGGCTTAAACATCACTCACTAAAACAACCACTCTTGGGATTTTATTAAGGTGAATATTGGATAAGTTTGCACAAAGCTAAAAACTTCTATAAGAAATGTTAAAAAAAAAATTGCTAGAAGGGAACCAGCAGTTAGCGTAATGGCTATGTCGCTGGACTCCCACGTAGTCGACCGCAGTTCACGTCCCGGACCCGGTGGCTTAAAACTCACGCCGGGCGCGTGTGCGTGCGTGCCCAATCTCCCGAGAGGAGAATGGAGGAGAAGGGATTGCGGCGTGACCATCCCCCTTGGGGGGTGATTTCTCGCTTTCTGTCTCTATGTCTCTCTCTGTCTGTCTGGCAAGCGCACGCGCCCTACAGTGAAAATCTCTCCAAAAAAAAAAAAAAAAAAATTGCTAGAAGACTCATGCATTCACCAAAACCAGAGAGAGGGAAAGTGAGAAAGCACCCCACCATGGGACACGGTCATGCTACAATTCTATCTCTTCCATCTCTCCCTCCTTTGAGAATTCTGGGCAAGCAACCACACACACCTGGTGTGTTTCTCAAGCTGCTAGGTCTGGGGCTCACCTGCGTTATCAGTCATGTGGAATCCAGCCACCTCAACCACCACACCACAGGCTGGCTGCAGAAATAGTCACTTTAATACAATGTCCTAACCTACCTACCCACCCCACAAAGGCTCCAGCACTGATTCATAAATGATACTTAACCTCTCTCTCACTTTAAAAGGAAAGTCTACCTGTCACTACTTATGTTTTATCCACTATGTCCCTTGGCACTATTTTGCTAAGAAAAAAATGTTTAGTGACTTTGGCTGGGCTGTACACCTGGATCAGTTATAAGTTACGTAGTTTTGAAAATCTTGGTTGCTCTCTAAACTATGGCCAAATAATAAGTTCTACTACCCTCAGGTCAGTAGAGAAAGATCAATGGAATCCTCAAGGCTAGGATTAAACTTCAGATTAAAGAGAAGTTCTTTGTAAGGTTCCCCTCACCAATCTTTTCCAACCAAAATTCCAATATACAGTGAACTCCGTTGGATGTTTAAGTGTCACTAAAGAAGTATAGATCCAGAGGATTAGAAATTGTGACATTATTTATCTAACACTGTTCTTTTTAGAAAGAAAAAAAAAAAGGAAAATTAGCCACAACACTTATGTTCTCAAGAATATGAGTTCATATGGACATTTCCTCTTTTTTTTTTTAGTCTCCTTTGATCTCTCCTTTACTTCTCCTTTTCTTTAAATGATCTCAAATTCCTTCATAAAATTATTTCTTGCTACTCCTTCAAATAGAATAAAGTTTAACCAACAGCTCAGATTTTTTTCTGGTGCCATCATACAGATGAGTGAGTAATGGCCCTATAGTTGCTCAGAGCAATGTGAGTCTTCATTCCTAAAGGATGGACATGATTTGTTTTCTCTCTGGATCTCACAGTAAAACACATCTTATCATTAGGACCCATCGCGTCTATATTCATTTTATAACTATTCTGGTCAACACTTCCTTTTTTTCCCTTAGCTACTTTTGGCTTTACTCCTCAGTTTCCATGACCATTCTATTCCTGGGTCTTTAAAAAAAAAAACCCTTCAACTCTCCCATTGAAGCATGGTTTCTGGATATTCAATTGAGCACAGATTCACTAGCAATTTTGTTATAGGCAAGATTCCTTTCTCCATAATGAGCCCTAACTCTTGCCCTCTTAATATCCAGAACTACCCAAAAGGATTAATTCAAATTAAAAGTAAATTAGAGGGGCCAGCAGATGAAGTAATGGTTACATCACTGGACTCCCATGTAGCCAACCACTGTTCAAGTCCCAGACCTGGCAACTTAAAACTCATGCTCTGTGTGTGTGTGTGCATGCATGTCCAAAATCTCAAGGGGAAATGGAGAAGGGGTGGCAGCACTATCATCCCACCCCAGAAGGAGGGTGTGATTTCTTGTTTTCTTGTTTCTCTGTCTCTCTCTGTTTCTCCAGTGAGCACACATGCTCTATAACAAAAATCTCTCTCAAAAAAATAAATTAGACTGTTATAATATTGGTAACTATTAAACAAGAATATATTCTGGGGGAAATAAAACTAAAAATATGGAGAAGAATATCATGAAGCTTTAAAAGAAAATTGGAGGGACCAGCAGTTGGTATAATGGCTATGTCGCTGGACTCCCATGTAGCCGACTACGGTTCAATTCCCAGACCCGGCGGCTTAAACTCACGCCAGGCATGTCTGCCTGTGTGCCCAAGATCCTGAGAGGAGAATGGAGGAGAAGGTATTGCTGCATGGCCATGCCCCCTGGGAGGGGATTTCTCATTTTCTGTCTCTCTCTTTCTGGTGAGCGCACACACTCTAGAGAGCAAAAACCTCTCAAAAAAAAAATTGAAAACTATATTTAGGATTTTTTAAATTAATATTCATAATTTTACAGTCACCCAGAAGACTTCATCTTCTTTTGGAACCTTTGTATGAGACAGTTTTCTTATTGATTTCCATTAGTAATCTTATTTGATCATTTCACTTGGACACATGGCTAAAATGACTTGAAATTCAATTGATGAAAATCAGACATGGATTTACTAGAGGAAGAAACTTTATTCACAGAAATAAAATGTAAATTGTTTTAAAAATTCTCGCTCTTTCAAATTAATTTAAATTCAATTATTTATAGTCATTTATATTTTTATCCAGAGATAAGTAAAACACTTTCCTTCTTTATTTCCATTTCTTTACCCCATTTCTTTCTATCCAAGGCTTCCTTTCTAAAGACAAAATGTTAAAGTAAATGCATTTTGAAGAGTATATGAGGGAAGAGTAATTGTAGTTGTGTGTGATCTTTACCGGGTACTATGTTAAGTCCTGTGAATATGAAGATAAGTAAAATCCAAACTCTACTTCTTCCAGAACTTACAATCTACTTAGGAAAGCATTTTTTTTTTAGAGGTTTTTGCTATAGGGCGTGTGCGCTTGCAAGACAGAGAGAGACAGAGAGACAGAACGCAAGAAATCACCCCCCAGGGGGGATGGCCACACCGCAATCCCTTCTCCTCCATTCTCCTCTCGGGATCTTGGGCATGCCTGCACACGCACCCGGTGGGAGTTTTAAGCCACCAGGTCCGGGACTCGAACCGCGGTTGACTACGTGGGAGTCCAGCAACACAGCCATTACGCTAACTGCTGGTCCCAGGAAAGCATATTTAACATAATCATTTTATAATCATTATTCAATGTGATAAATATGTTGTTATATAATGTACTATAAATGAGTAAGTAAAGCAATAATTGATTTTGCCTGTGGGGATTCTGGACGGTGTCACAGAAACTAAATCATAAATAGTATAGAAATATGACGCATAGTTTGTGGTAGGGCTTATCTTGGCCCACCAATCCCCAGAGTTGGGCTTTGGACTTGAGGAATGATACTCTCTAGATGGAACCATCAGGTAGATGCTGACAGAAGTCAAACATAAACAAAAGCAGAGTGTAAAGGAGGCTGTCAACAGAAGTCGAGTCTCATGCAATCCAAATTTGGGCCAAGTGGTAGAATCAAGGCAATAGATGTCATATGCCGAGCTGGAACATTTGTACTTCATCTGAAAACAAAATGAACAAGAGCAGAGATGAAGCACACACCCTAACACAACAGGGAAGACTAGGGTGGGCAGATGGGTTCCAGCCATCCAGCTGAAGTATAGTGTAGGATTTCTCAAAAGGCACCAATAGTTTCGGGACTAGCAGTTAGCATAATGGCTATGTCGCTGGACTCCCATATAGTCGACCGCGGTTCAAGTCCCAGACCCGGTGGCTTAAACTCACGCCGAGCACATGTGCTGTGTGCCCAAGATCCCAAGAGGAGAATGGAGGAGAAGGGATTGCGGCATGGCCATCCTCCCTGGGGGGTGATTTCTCGGTTTCTGTCTTTTTGTCTCTCTCTGTCTGTCTGGCGAGCGCACACACCCTATAGCAAAACCCCCCCCAAAAAAAAAAAAAAAAAAAAGGCACCAATACTTTCTAAGAGGAACAGAAAGGAGACAGATTACCTATTTCTTCAAGAGGCAAGTCCTCTAAGAAGTTATCTGCAACCCGTAGCATCTGCCTCAGTGCAGAAAGGATCAGAATATCCTGTAGGGAGTCCAGTTCCTCCCTTGAAGCATAATTCTTAACCATCAGAATATTAGAAATAGGAATATCTAGCATTGAATGGACATTCATTATCTGTTGGAAAATATATTTAAGAAACAAAAGTCAAGTTTGAAATCACATTTGAATTATAAATACAACTCAAGAGAGAAACCAAAAAAAGCAATGGCTTGGTAAATTCTCTTTGGAACATAATTATAATTCACTTATAGTTTAAAGTGGGATATAAACTTGAATTTACCAGGCAATTGATCCAAGTCTTCATTCAGCTGCGGATATGATGGGTGAATGCGCATGTCCATGCACACTCTCTCTCTCACACACACACACTATGATTGTGATACTATTATAATAATATTTTATTGCAAACAGCATGCTTTACCTGGCTTTGAGAAGTCATAGATGTATTCATGTTTAAAAAGCTGTCTTGAAGAACTTCATTACAGTTACTCACTTTAGTAAGCAGGGCTACATGAGCTAAACCTAGAGCAAATAGATATATCAGTTATCTTACATCATAAAATAGTGCCAGCAAGATAATGTATGTGAAAGCATCTCTCTATAAGGTAATTCAAAGACACGTAGAATGAAATATCAGTAATATGATGCTGGGGTTCTATTAAAGGAGACATGGTCCTTTTCTTCCAAAGTGAGATTATTTTCAAAGACAATTAAATTCATGTTAAATTGCAATAATCTGTTACACCACTCAAACAGTACATTTTAAAGTGCAGGAGAAGTCATCGTTCTCCTTTAAAGACTAAAAAAAAGCTTAAGAGAGAGGAAAAAATGTGGAGGATTGTGTATGAGCATACATAAAAGAAGACAGCACTCATTTCACACTTCTACTAAAGACCTGCTGTCTTCTCTGTAAACCACAGAAATTCATGAGTAAATCATACTAGGCTTCTAAAGCAATAACAATTCTACTTTGCTCACTACTGCTTCGGAGGGAAAAAGTTACAAATTTGAGAAATCCAAATTCCGGTCAAGAATGCCTCTGAGACTTCTTTACCAGAGCTTTTAGTACTTTCCCTTACAAAACTCCTGTGTGTCTGAATCCATTATTAAATGATTACTTTTGCAATCTTCTCTTCATTCAAGGAAACTTTCAGACAACAGCCACACTACCCGAATCAAACATCACAAAAATAACCTCAGCTACACAACAGGAGTGTCCTTCCCTTCTCTGGCCCTCACTCTCTGCCACGGTACTATCAGAGAAGAACAATAGGGAACCAGGACATTTCTACCTGCACTGTGGTAATGAGGTCCCTGAATGGTGTCAGTGCAGACCTACATGGTGATTCTAGACTTCCACTGCAGCCAGCAGTAATGAGGTGCCCTTCTCCCTTTCTGCCAATGTTAGACGAGGCTGTAAGAAGCTGAAACTTTTAAATCACCATCCACACAGCCTTAAGAAGGCTCCCAGTTCATTTTAGTGTCAGTGGAGTCCACAGAGGGACAGTAAAAAGGTGCCCTTCCCCGAAGGGGTCAAAAAAGACCATAGAAGGAACCTGTCTTTTTGCTGCCACCATTGTCAAAAGCAGTCTGCTAAAACACAAGGTCCAAATAAAATCCTGACCCCCATGATATTGTACCCAAACATACAAGTAAGGATATTTCATTACACCCAAAATCAGGAAAACTTCAACTTGAATGAGAAAAGGTAATCAGAAGGTCCTGACACAAATTAGACGACAAAGATGTTGGAATCATTTGGCAAGGATTTTAAAGCAACCTTTATAAAAATGCTGAACAACCAAGTAAGACGTGCTTTAAACAAATGAAAAATAGAAGAGCTCAGCAAAGAAATAGAAGATATGAGAAAATAGTCAAATTAACATTTTAGCAATGTAAAATATAACTACCAAAATAAAAAACACATGCATGCACTCAAAAGCAGCCCGGAGAGAATAGAATAAAGAACTATTACATTTAGATTAACCACAGTGGCACAGTGGTAACACAATGCTCCATGATGCTGAAGTACATGGACAGGCCCCAGGAGAGCAACCTGAGCTCTCCCTGTATACACTGAGTGCACGCACGTGTCCCTGTGATCCTGATTGGTGAGGCTGGGGGTGGATCATGATTTTAGGACCATGTTGGGGATGCCTGCCTTTCCCTGTGTCTCTCTTTCTCTATCTCATGTAAGAACTAAAGATAAAAATCTTTAAGTATCAGTGAATTTGAAGATGTAACAATAGAAATTACTCTTAAAAATAAAAACAAATAGTAAAAATAAATAAACATGGACTATGACAAAACATCTAGAATTCATGGCATTAGAGTTCCAGAAAAAAAGAGGGCTAAAAATTATAATAATAAAAAGACTACAGACTGGCAGAAACCATTTGCAAACTATAAATCTGATAATGAACTCGCATTAAAATTCAACCTTAAAAAAACTCCACAAATATTCCAATCAGAAAAAAGGCAAAAGATGTGAAAGACATTCCACTGAAGAAGATATGTGAAAGGCAAAATTGCACATGATGTGTTCTATGTGATTAATCACTGGAAATACAAATTAAAACCATAATGAGATATAATTCTTCTAATAGATATGGAATGCTAAAATTTTAAACAGCAACAATATTAAATACCAGTGAGAGTACAGAAAATCTGGATGTCTCACATACTGGTAATGGGGATGTAAAATGGTACAGAGCTTGTGGGAGAGTGGTTTGGGGATTTCTTTAAAGCCAAGCATATACTTGCCATATGACCCAGCAATCACCTTTCTGACGCCATCCCAAAGGGCTGAAAACTCATGTTCACATGAAACCAGTATACTAATGTTTCTAAGAGCTTTATTTGCAATAGTTAAAATCTGGGAACAATCAAAATATCCTTTGATAGAGAATGGTTAAATAAACTATGGTTTATATATACCATGGAATACTACTGAAAGAAAGAAACTGAACAATTGTTACCACAATGTCTTAGATAGACCACGAAAGATGTAAGTCCAAGTCAAAACTTCAGTGCCAAACAGTAGCAATACAGTATTACTCCATTTATATAACATTCTCAAAGTTACTAAATTATGGAAATTGAAAAGATATTAGCAGTTGTCAGGGGTAAGAATGGTGAGGGAATAGACAGTATCAGGAAAAAAAATCTTTGTTATAATACAAAATAAGAAAACCCCAGCCAGTCTATTCTTTAAGATCTGAAGACTAGGATTTAGGATCTTTATCAGTCAAGTCTGTGAATGACCTCTACTTGCTATTGTTTCCAACCCAAAGCTCAGGAAATTGGGTATATAGGACCTTTCTGTACACTTTGCAACTTTCTATGAATCAACAATTACTTAAAAAAAAAAAGATTTTATAAGTACAATAAAACTCACCACAGTTCAATACTTCTTTGTGAACTTGTTTGAGCTTGGCCACCATTTTAGATGAGAGATTATTAATAGAGTTGATGTCTAAAACGTAAGCCACACAGTGAATCCTGTCCTTCAGTGATGGAGAGGTGATGAAGTTAGGATGCTTGGGTGTAATTGGTTTATGGGGATTAAACTGTTATGGAAACATAAAGTAGCCTTTAGAATTCTCAATTCCTTAAAACACAATTCATGTTTCAAATACCACCACCACTAACTTCAACCTGAAACTTTCCCTCTTTTCCCTCCACTCAGCTTCTCCTAAGGCAGATTAGTTAGTAACACCCCTTCCATACTTGCTTTCTACCATAAACATAATGTCATTGTATATATAATGTTATATATATAATATAACATATTATCTCTATTGTATTATATATTACATTATACATGTATTATAGATTGCATATTGTATACTATATGTATACATGTATTTTTAAAATAGAACTTCAACTTCATTCCTTTGATAAAATGATAGTTCTCCACACTAAAGATTGAAAGAAGGTACAGAGACTTTTAAAATTTAATCTCTAATTCCAGTCTCCAAAATAGGTACCATTAATATTTGTTATCTACCATTTAAGACTGCTCTAAGCATTTTGCATACTTAAAAGGACTAATAGAAAGTAAAGGAAGAAGAGAGATATATTGAAAATGTCATTTAAGCTAAAATACTATTAATTTCTTAAAATTTTGCAAAAGATAAACTGAAATAAAACAAAAAAATGCCAACTTTCAAGCTAGTATCTTTCTATAAGACAATCATATGAGATTAAGAAAAACACTTAGAAAACTTAGATAAGTTTAGAAATGTGTAGCTTTTAAATCATATATGTCAATGTTGTACTTAATTGACTGAGTTCTTACAATGAAAATGAGGGTGTCAGTATCATGATTGCTCTCATCTCTCTGTCCTGTTCAACCTCCCTGTATATATCTTTCTGTCTCATTTTCCCCCCAACTATGAGCTTCCTGAGGATAAGAATTGTGTTCTCGGGAACAGCAGTTAGTGTAATGGTTGTGTCGCTGAACTCTCATGTAGTGGACCACGGTTCAAGTCCTGGACCTGGTGGCTTAAAACTCATGCCAGGCGCATGTGCATGCATGCCCAAGATCCTGAGAGAAGAATGGAGGAGAAGGGATTGCTGCATGGCCATCCTCCCCCAGGGGGTTGATTTCTCACTTTCTCTCTCTCTGTCTCTCTGGCGAGAGCACGCACCCTATAGCAAAAACCTCTCAAAAAAAAAAATTGTGTTCTCATTCAACTATGTATTTTTATTAACTAGCTCAGTGTCTGGCATAAATTTCAATATGTTATTTTTAAATGAATAAATGGTCACATAGGTAAGGTTTCTAGTCAAGTAATATTGGGAGATATAGAAGGTCACTGTTTAATTGATAAACTGATTGTATTGATATCCAATACCTAACAGAAAGTTATAATAATGATTAACTTCTTGAGAATTTAGAGGGTATCATCTAATTTACTCTTCTAGCCATACTACGAGATGGGAACTATTAACACTTGCATTGCACGCACGAAAAAAATAAATAAATAAGACTTAAGAAACAGATATTTAACTTGCTTATGAGTACACATGTAACTAGTGGCATAGCCGACGTTTGGATTTAGGTATTTAGTAGTGAAGCCTAAGCACAAATGATATATCAAACTTCAACAGAAAGTTAATTGTCCCAATATTTATGTGATCAAAAAGTATAAGAAATTAAACTACTACTTTCTTATTAGTTTGCATCCCTGCAAAGAGAGACATAAACATATCTCCCTGACATTTTCCTGAAACTTGGGTGAATAGAATTCTGCCCTTTGGTTTTATTCCTCAGTGTTACAGAAAAGAACAGCAGTCATTCTATTTTTCTTATATGAATATATGTTCATTTAAAGTATAGCAGTGTCAACTGATGTTGGAGTCACATTAAAGCAGTTAAAATTGCCGTATGGGTAAAAATATAATGAAAACTACTGATGAAAATGACTTGAAATGTCCTGGATATTGGAGAAATCTTACCTGATACCTGTCTGGCACATGGCCTCTTAAGATGTGAGGTATGTCATCCATGCACAGTCCTTCTCCCTCTGTCTCATCCAGTCCCATGGAGTCACACAGCACAAAGGGCAGAAATGTGCCATACTTTCCATCTTTCACAGAATATGTTCTATACTATTTTCAAAAATCAAGTATAAAGGTTTATTACTTAATTAGCATTCAAGATAAGACAATAGAAAGAATAACACTGGTTAAGGGTTTGAAATAGTTTTAAAAGCAAACATTTAGGTCCCTAGACCCCTTTAAGTTCTTAAATTATTGTGAGGATGTCAAAGGTAAGTTATTTATGTGGATTATATCTACGGATATTAACATAGGAGAAGCTAAAACTAAAAAAATTAAATTTTTTGAATAATCAAAAATAAATACAATTATGAACCTGTTATAAATCAACCTAAACTATCTTTTTATTTCAAAAAATGAAAGTTTTTTTTAAAAAAAAGACTTAGAGAATGGCATTGAAATACTTTTTACAATTTCTTTAATGTCTGGATTCATAAAGACATCTGGATTCTCATATCGGCCTTTAATTTGATGTGAAAAGTTTAGTTGAATTATATAAAGAAAATCTCACACATATAATAGGAAAAGGAAGGCATATTTAATTTAATAGCTTTCAGATAATTATGAATATTTTTTATTAATAATGCATCAAAACTCACATTATAACTCACTTTTACTAATTCTATTACAATTTCTTATTAGCGTATAATAGTTGTACATCTTGTGAAATATAGTGTGGTTTTTTAAAACACAAAACAGCTAATAAAATTACTAAAAAAATTGACAGGGACAAGTCTACATGTTTTGATAATAACATTAAATGGTTATAGATTAATCCTCAATTAAAAATAACAGATTGGCAGAATGATAAATAAACAGGAGGATTCTATATGCTGCTTACAAGAAACACACCTCAGTGATAAAGACAAACATAAATCAAAAGTCAAGGACTGGGAAAGGCATTTTATGACAGAAACCAAAAAGAGAGTGGAACCACAACATTGTTATCTGAGAAAATAGACCTGAAGATAATAACTGTAAAAAGAACAAAGAAAGACACTACATAGCACTAAAGAAATTAATTACCAAGGAGACATAACAAATTATGCACCAAATACTGGAGCACCCAAATAGAGAAATGAAAGATTTGTGGACTTAAAGAGAGAGACAGACTGCAACACACTAACTGAAGATTTCAACACCCTACTGACACCCCTGGAAGGGTGATCTAGACAGAAAATAAGCAAAGAGAAGCAGGAAATAAATGATACTATAAACCAAATGGACCTGATAGACATTTAAAGAACATTTTACCCAACAACTACTAAATACATATTTTTCTCAGCCCCACATGGAACATTTTAAAAGATTGACTACATAATAGGACACTAAACAAGTCGTTACAAATTTAAATTATAGATACTATAGCTAGCATATTTACTGACCACAATATAATTAAATTTGAAACAAATAACTAAGAGACTTTGAAAATACACAAATGCATGGAAACTAAATAATTTACTTCTTAATGATATCAAAACTACTGAATAAATTAAGACTGAAATTTTAAAATTCCTTGGGAAAAGTGACAACCAAGACACAACATCCCATAATCTGTGGGGAATAATAAAAGCAACTTTAAGAGAGATGTTTATAGCAATTAGCACTTACAAGGAAAAAAAAAATGGAAAGCATCTTAAGGATTTGGAAAATCAGCAACATCAAAAAAAAATGCAATAGCGCTAAAAGAAAAATAATAATAAAGATTAGAGCATTAATCAATAAAATAGAGAATAAAGGAACTATACAATAAAATCAATGAAACAAAAATCTGGTTCTTTGAGAAGATAAATAAAATTGACAGACCACTAACTACACTAACCAAGAAAAACAGAGAAAGAAACCAGATAATAAAATCAGTAATTAAATGGGCAATAGTGCAACAGATGCAACAGAAATACAAATATAAAAGATCACAAGAAATTACTATCTGTGACTTAATGCCAACAACTAGAAAACTTAGATGAAATAGGAAAATTTCTGGACACACACAATATTCCTAGATTGAATAAGGAGGAAAAAGAAAGTTTGAACAGACCAATAGTAAGCAATTACATTTTTAAAATAGTAATAAATAGTGCCCCAGCAAGGAAAAGCCTAGGTCCTGATGGCTTCACTTTTGAATTCTACAAAACTTTTAACGAATTACTTTTCAAACTATTTCAAAAGATCCAAATAGGGGATCAGCAGTTAGCGTAATGGCTATGTCGCTGGATTCCCACATAGTCGACCATGGTTCGCATCCCAGACCTGGTGGCTTAAAACTCACACCGGGTGCGTGTGCGTGTGTGCCCAAGATCCCAAGAGGAGAATGGAGGAGAAGGGATTGTGGTGTGGCCATCCCCCCTGAGGGGTGATTTCTCACTTTCTGTCTCTCTGTCTCTCTCTCTCTCTCTGTCTGGCGAGTGCACGCTCCCTATAGCAAAAACCTCTCCAAAAAAAAAAAAAAAAATCCAAATGGAAGAAGTTCTTCTAAACTCATTCTATGATGCCTTCATCACCTTGATACCAAAAGCAGACATGGACATAACAACAAAAAAAGAAAACTACAGACCAATATCTTTAATGGCTAATGATGCAGAAATCTTCACCGAAATACTGGCAAATTGAACCTAATAACATGCTGAAAAGATTATACATCATGACCAAGTAGGATTTTTCCAGGGATGTGACTATGGTTCAACAAATGAAAAATAATAAATGTAATACAGTACATTAACAGAAGGAAAAGCAAATACCATATGATCATATATATTGATGCAGAGAGTTTGATTAAATACAACATCCTTTCATGATTAAGACTCAACAAAATAGGTCTAGAAGTTTTATTTCTCAACAAAATCCCTAGCTAACATCATATGGAATGCAGAAAGGCTGAAAGTTTTTTTCCAAAAACTGGAAAGAAGAGAGGTTTTCCACTTTCTCCACTCCTTTTCCACATTTGTATTGAAATTATTACCAATTAAATCAGACAAAGAAAGAAAAATAAAAGGCATTCAAATATGAAATATTTGAAGAGTGAAAATATTTCCATTTGTAGACAACAACATTATATACATAGAAAACCCAAAAGGGGGAAAAAACTTCTAAAGTGATAAATGACTTTAACAAAATGACAGGATACAAAATCAATTTTAAAAATCTATAACTATTTTTATACAACAATAATGAATAAATTGAGACAGAATTGAAAAAAGTAATTCTATTTACAACAGAAAAAATTTCGGAGTAAACCTAATCAAAGAAGTGAAAGACTTCTGCAATGAAAACTATAAAATATTTAAAAATGAAATTAAACATGATACAAATACATGGAAACACATGCCTTGTTCTTGGATTGGAAAAATCAATTTAATTAAAATACCAATTCTACCTAAATTAATTTACAAATTCTATGTGAGTCTGATGAAACTACCAGTGGCATTCTTCACAGAAATAGGAAAAACAATCATAAAATTTATCTGGAATTGTAAAACACTTCATATTGCCAAAAAAAAAATACTCACTACCTGACCTCAAGTATATTACAGAGCTGTGATAAATGAAATAGCCTGGTACTGGCCCAAAAACAGACTCATGAACTAATGGCACAGAATAGAAAATCCAGAAATAAACCCTGTAACATACAGGCAACTGATTTTTTGACAAAGTATGTAAGATAATACAATGGAGGGAGAAAAAGCCTTTTCAACAAAATTGGATATTCATCTACAGAATAAATAAAACCAGATCTCTATCTCTTACTAGTAACAAAAATCAACTCAAATGGATCAAAGGTCTAAATTTAAAACCCTCAAACTACATAAAACTGATAGTGAAAAACACTTGAGACATTGAAATAGGCAAAGCTATCTTTAATAAGACCCTTAAAATGTAGACAACAATCCCAAAAATAGACAAGTGTGATTACATCAAGCTAAAAAACTTCTGCAAAGCTAAGGAAACAATACTTAAAGAAACAACTTACATAATGCGAAAAATAATTGCAAACCATGGCTCTGATAAGGGTTTGATAACTAGATTATATAGAGAACTCATGTAGCTCAATTGCAGAAAACTTACTATCCAATTTAAAACTGAGCCAATGATGAGACCAGCAGGTAGCATGGTGGTTGGGTGCTGGACTACCACGTGACTGACCATGGTTTGAGTTCTGAACCTGAAGGCTTGCTTTCTGACTTTCTCTCTCTCTGTGTCTCTTTCTGGTAAGCACATAAACCCTATAGCAAATTAAAATAATAATAATTAATAAAATTACATAAATAATTCTAAAAAAAAACCTGAGCAAATGAGCTGAACAAACAACTCTCAAAAACATACAAATGGCCAAAAATCATATGAAAAGCTTTTTCAGTGTCACTTATCATAAGAAAATACAAATAAAAACCACAATGAGATACTACTTAATCCCAGTTGGAATGGCTTTTACCAAAAAGAGAGAGAGAGAGAGAAAGAATGATTAAAAAAAAAAAATCCCAACAACAACAAAAGGTTGATGAGTGAGGCTGTGGTGAAAAGAAACCCTCCTGCATTGCTGGTGGGAATGTAAATTAGTACAGTCACTGTGGAACACTATATGGAGCTTCCTTAAAAATTTAAAATAAAACTACCACATAAACCAATAATCCCACTCCTTAATTTACCCAAAGGGCAAGAAAACACATAGTTAGAAAGACATTTGCATATCCATGTTTATTGCAGCATTATTCACAATTGCAAAGTCATGGAATCAATCTAAGTACCCAAAAACTGATGACTAGATTTTTAAAATGTGACACATGTACACTATGGAATACTACTCAGTCTTAAAAAACAATGAGACTGTCATTCAGTGCAAAGTAGATGAATCTAGATGACTTAATGCTAAGTGAAATAAACCATTCTATGAAAAACAAACACCGTATGTTCTCACAATATCTTCACATAATATATACTGTATGTCTACACTCTATGGTAGAAATCGAAAAATTTGAAGACATAATAATAGGGGGAAAAAGCATACATGTTAGAGACTATATGGCAGGAGGTGTGGATTGTGAAGTAGTTAGGAAGGGCCCACCAAAACACTTAAATGCAAGAATGTAAAGTTCTTTGTTGAAAACAATGTATATAGTAATATCCCTGATTTGATCACACACCGAATGCATGCTTTGAAAAACCATATTGTATGCCATAGTGATTTATAACAATCAAATGTAAATTTAAAAATATAAAATAAAAACATTATGTATTTGCAAAAGTAAAAAAACATGCATTTGCAAAAGTAAACAAGAATAAATATAAATGAAATAAACATCTAAAAAACCCATTTAGACAATGATCAAATGAGGGAAATAAACATATTCATCATATAATATTCAACATATTCATCTCCTCCGTTCTCTTATCAGGATTTTGGACTTTCACACACATATGCCTGGCATGAGTTTCAAGCCTCTAGTATGAGACTTGAACCATGGCCAGTCATGTGGGAGTCTAGCACCTTAACCACTACATCACCTGCTAGTCCCGCCTATGTACAATTTTATAACCTGCTACATTGTCCATTTGAAGACATCATTCACTGAGTTACACAGATCTTCCAAATGTCAACACATCATTCAATAATAATAAAATATAACAGTTGTTAATATCACCAGTAACCTCATCAGATAAGTCTATATAAATTATACTTTTTCTAGATCAGAGTGGCGAATGAAAGTTTCCAAAAGTTCTAATTTTTTTCTTAAACACTCAAATTTGATCATTAACAATAATACTGTCAATTTGTTTCCCTTGGAGTGGTAGGCTCATCTTGTGCATTTTCAGAAAAAAAAATTATTCTACCAAATATCCAAGTATGAATAAGCAAATCTGTCAGTTGTCCAGTCAAGTAAAAATGATGTTACCTTTAAGAGTACAACTCACAACCTAGTTGCACCAGTGCTTTTCTAAATACAATGGCTGCACTTTTATATGCATTAAAGATACCTTATTGCACTTCCCATTACATCACCCAGAATATTAAAACTATGTACACTGAAAAGTTGAGTTTAGGCCAGCAACCATGGTGGTGAAGTGATAACTCACACTCTGAAATGTTGCATATGGTGAGGGTTTTCTGCTACATAGATGGTTTATTCTTGCAGCTTCCTCACATGACAGAAAGAGACAAACTCCCTCAAGTATCTTTTATAAAGACATTAACCTCATTCATGAAGATAAGGTCCTCAGGACCTAATTATATTCCAAAGGACCAAGCTCTTAATACCATCACATTGGTATTATGAACATATGAATTCTGGGAGAACAAAAACATTCAGATCATAGTACAAAGAATTTAAAAATCCAGGGCTGTTATTGAGTTGATGCTGGAAAGTGTATGATTAGCCAGGGATTGAATTGACTTTTTGTTGAATTATCTTTCCTTGGCTGCTAAGACTAAGCTGATAAATCAAAATTAAGTCACTAATAGGATAGAATCTGGCCAACAAGAAACAAGATGTGACTCTTGAAAGTCCTAGAAAATGCTTTGAGTTATTGAATATGACACAAAAACTAAAATAAACTGACTGTTTTATGCTAATTTTGCATTGACAATGCATAGCATATCTTTCTTCAGATGATAACTATATTAAGTTATAGTAGTCATAGAATAAAACAACCTGACTATTAAATTTTCCTTCATTTCCTTTATTATTTTTGTTTGATCACATAGTATTGACAACCATAAACCAGAAGAATGTTTTTAGATATATGTTGTGCTTTATCTTGTAGAACTTCAGAATAAAGAAATCTGTATTAGTATTTATTTCCTTAAATACATTCATTTGTAAATAAGAGAGGCTGTGTAGGAGCATTGATAAATTTATCCTTTAAGGTTTGCCCCAACAAAATAAATCACTTTTTTGATTACCATAACTATTTTTATAGAATAATTTTATAAAATGGAAAATTATTGCATTACTTACATAATTTTCATTGTTTTATTACAAGAAAGAAAAAAATCATTTCAATCTGGATAAAACCATGTCAGTAGAAAATGAATGACAAATGTGATAGATAAACATTTCTAGAGTTTTTAAAATGTTTTATATATATTGAGGGCCAGCAGGTGGTATGGGTGTTAAGCCACTGGACTCCCATACGGTTGACTATGGTTCAAATCCTGAACCTGGTGGCTTGAAAATCACGCCTGTTGCATGTGAATTCATGTTCAAAATTCCAGAGGAGAATGGGGGAGAGGGACTGTGGTGTGTCCATTGGGTGGGGGAGGGGAGGGTGGACCATGATTTCTCACTTTCCCTGTCTCTGTCTCATGCTCTAGGGCAAAAACCTTAAAGGGGAGGGGGAGGGAGAGTAGGAGAGAATGTTGTATATATATCACAAATATCCAAAAGCATTTTTCATATAACTGTTTTTCTATACCCATCAATTTTTTTTAAAAGAAAAAAAACACTTCTCTGTATAATATAACGTAGTGAAGGCAATTCGGATTCATCTTTTATTATTGTTTTACATTTGCCTTAGCATTTAATTGATTGTAAGTAGATCAGTTTTTAGAGAAAATGGCAAAGGAATTAATAAAGCTAAGATTATAATTTATAAAACAAAATCTTCAGGAATCCTGAAATAACTCACCTGTTCAGTAATGCTGGTACTATCAGACCCGACTATGGCTTGGCGAGTCACATGTCCTTGAAAAATAGACTTCACTGAATTGAAAAAGCTGGATTTTCCAGACCCAACTGGCCCCAGCAAGAGAATACGAATTTTGGAAACCATGTCTGCATGAGGTTTGTAGGCTCGGAGTTCTGATAGAAGCTTATTTCTGTGCCTGTTAAAATGCAGTAATGAAATGCAACAGCCAAACTACATAAAGAACAGTACAATTTGCATGGAAGTTTCTTTTTCTTCTCTCTTACTATAAGTTTTAATTTTTACTATTATTTTCATAGTAGTTTTTTTTTCCATAATACTATTTGAAAACGTCTGAGGTTATGTATTTCATGCTTGAAGAAAATGCATTTATTTATATCTATCAACTAGCAACCAAACCATTGTTAACTATTAGCCTTAGAAATCTAGTAAGCATCAAGACCAGCAGATGGCATAATGGTTACATCATTGGACTCCCACATAGTCAACCTTGATTCAAGTCCCAGACCCAGCATCTTAAAACTCACACTAAGTGCGTGTGTGTGCATACCCAAGATCCCACGAGAAGAATGGAGGAGAAAGGACTGTGGCCTGGTCATCCACCAGAGAGGTGATTAACCTCTCTTAGAAAAAAAAAAAAGAAATCTGGTAAGTATCAATAACACTGAAGAATAATTATTATTTATTATTTCTACCAAAAATATATTCAAGATAAACCAAGAGACCAGTAGATGGCATCAAGGTTATATTGCTGGACACCCACGTAGTCGCCCACCATTCGAGTCCTGGACCTGGCAGCTTAAAACTCACGATGGGTGCATGTGCATGGGTGCCCAAAATCTAGAGAGGAGGATGGCGGAGAAAGGATTGCAGGGTGGCCATCACCCCTGGGAAGTAATTTCTCACTTTCTGTCTCTGTCTCTCCAGCTAGTGCCCATGCTTTATAGCAAAAAAATCTCTCTCAGAATTTAAAAGAAAAAATCTCTCTCACTAAAAAAAAAGGAACAAAAATAAAATATATGCAATATAGCTATCTATCTATAAATTAAGTAAAGAGATCTTTTTTCTTAAACATTTACTGAGATTCCCTAAAAGCTATATTCTCAAGAAAAGGATCAAGAAGAATTATCTAAAATATTCTCCAGACTATCTAAAAAACATTGACTCTAACCAGTCAAAAGTAAAATATGAAGTCAAACTTGTCAATTATTTTCAGATGAATTTTAAACATTTCACAGTCGGAAGTGATTTTGTTATTGCTGTTGCTCTAAAACACCCTGGACATTTTATGTTAATAATAGCATACCTCAGTTTTTATCATTCCAAATATGTTTATCTATCTTATTATGCCATTATCAGAACACCTTACATAATTAGTCTAAATGAAATGAGTAACAACTAGTCCAAGAACCTAACTTACGGTGTGACTCTCATTATCCTTGGTATGTAGCTTGGATCAACCATAATTCCTAGGGGGAAAAAAAACACAGGATCAAATGTTTTTAAGCTTGTCTAGTAAATGTGGCCGAATTTACCTCCTAATACAACATTTAGTCTGCTTGGATAACTATAATTAAGACTGAACTGTTTAATTAGGAATTAAAGTTGACAACACAATGAAAAGTAAAAAAGAGAACATTTTCTCTGCACATAAACTCTCTCTGGAAACTCTAGAAATATCTAGAGATCTGAAGACTTACTTTTGAGTCAAGTATCTAAACAGATAAAATCTGATTAGAAGGTCACTTTCTCTGTCTCTCTTCTCCGTCTTCCCCATCTCTACATGCGCACACATTTATTGCTCTGCTTACTTTGCTCAAAACGGCTTTTCCTTATGGGTAATAACTTCATAAATTTTATGCCTTCTAGGTTTCATTTTGTAATTTATCAGAGTATCAGGTGGCATAAAATCTATTTGTTCCTTTTATTTATCCTCTTTATTACAGATCAATTATAACCTACCAAATACAAAGACTAGAACCAGAAGGTAGAATATAGAATTATCTAAGTTAATGTACCTTCAACTCGAAAAATTTCACATTCCAAATATGTAGCTCTTGAAGAATTTGCTACTCTTAATTTCTCCTTTAAGTTAAATTGTATATTATGTGTACTTTTGTCTGGAACTATGGAAAAGGTATCTGAATCCAGTGAAAAGATTACCGGTTCTTTACCACTAATTTTTGGTACAAAATTTACTTTTAAAAATGATGTTTCAATTATATTATTCTTCTCTGTAAGTGAAAAACAGAAGGAAGAATTTGGCTTTCCAGAATTATTTAATTTAGGATAATTTCCAAGCATAAAGACACCAAAAATAGCATCAGACAGATAAATCATTATTAGAATGGATCCCTGATCCGTGCATCTCTGATCCGCATCTTCTGTGCTACATCCATGAACCGTAGACTTATAAAGAAGAGTCAAGGAGACATTTCCGAGTAGCTTTTGCAGACTCCTTTCTTCATTCCAAGTCAATCTGGTTGTCACTTCCATTGCTCACTATCTAGTGGAAAACCAAATAGAAGGCGAGAGGTCAGTATAATCTCTAAAGCATAGATGTTTTGCTTCTGTTGCAGTGAGTTCTTTTTTGCTCTGACTCGAATAAAACATGTTATTTGAATTAGAAGAGAAAAACATATAGAGGTGGTACAATAATAGATATAAAAATAGATAATTTAGAAATTTCTAAAAATCATTAAATGTTAAACATCATCTGGTGAATTAAACTGAAAACTGAATAATGAGTAAAGAAAAAATAATAAATTAGAATAAGAGTCATTAAACTTCTCCTTAATGAATGAAAAAGTAAATTTGCTTTTTTAGGTCATCTGATCTCTGTCACAATTCATGTGTATCACTGTAATGCAAAATCAGCCATAAACAATGTGTAAACAAATGAGCATGGTTGTGTTCTAATAGAATTCTCTTTACAAAAAAGATGTAAAACATGTGGCAAAAATAATGCAGAGATGTTGACCAAAGGGTACGAAGTTTTCATTGGAAAATGTTTTTGAAATCTATTTTACAAAGTTTTAACAATATTTGATAATAATGCACTGTATATTTCAAAACTGCTAAAAGAATAGATTTTAAATAGTCTCACTATAAAAAGAATGGTAAGTATATGAGACAATAAATGTGTTAATTAGCTTAATATAATAATTTTATATTATATATAAAATATACATAGTCATGTTATATTATATATATATATATACATATACACACCATATTGTACCCTATTGTACCCAATAAATGTGCAGAATTATTATTCATCATTTTAAAAAAATAAAATAAGCAAATTCACTTCTACATATATTGTTGTCTGTATCCTCCACATATTAACATGCAAGATCCGGAAATTTTCTTTAAAATTACCTCCAAAAGAATAGCAATCAGAAGGTAAACAGAATTATTGTAAATATCAACATACTATATAAGGACCACGTGGTAGCACAGTGGTGTAAGTAAACTCTCACGGGACCAGTCCTGGGCTCACATTTCAGGGGCCCCCTGAGTACACTGGGCATGCACACACATCCCCACAGTCCGGGCTGGCTGAGACATAGGTTATATCATGGAGTAGGAATCCTGTTGGATGTTCCTGTCTCTCTGTCTCTCTCTCTCTCTCTCTAAGAAATAAACTTTAATAAATAAATAAATCATATAGCATAATGGAGTAATACATTCAAATTGTTGAGCAGAAGATAAGTTGTAGAAGAAGATACGTTAGCAACCATTTTACTTGAAAAAGAGAGCAGAGGACCAGCTGTGATAGAAAGTAGGGTGCTGCCGCACAAAGCTGGAGGGTTGGGTGCAAGTTCCAGGCCAAGCTGAACACGCCTGGTATGTCTGAGTACTCCAGTGACCCTGACTGACTGGAGGCTGGAGCGGGAAGACGGCAACATGATGAGACTCTGTCAAGGGCATTTCATCGCTCTTTCTCTCTCAAGAAATATTTTCTTTAACAATAAAGATAGTGAATCTAAGGTCCCATACATGAGTATCCAGTTAAGAAAAAAATCCTAGAATTTCTTTTAAAACATTGTTCTCAAAAACAGCAAATGAAATAAGCTAAGAGGGAGTACATTTTTATAAAGATATGAGCAACTTTTGAAAAAAAAAAAACTAAATGGATAATTTTATGAGGAACATGAAAAATACCCAGAAAAAAACTAGAGGGTGACACAAGTTACTGGATAAAGCCTTCCTAAAAATTATGTAATTTCCGGGGCCAGAAGGTGGAGCAGTGATTAAGGCACTGGACTCACCCATGTTCAACTGCGATTCAAGTCCCAGACCTGGCAGCTGGTTTCCCTTTCTCTTTCTCCTGTTGGTTATCTTTCTCTCTTTCTCTCTCTCATCTCTCTCTGGTGAATGCATGTGCCCTATAGCAATTTAAAATAATAATAATAATAAATAAAATAATTATTTTTAAAATCATGTAATTTTCTCCAGATTGTATCTTCAAATTCAGTGGCAGCTCAGTGGAATCACCAACAACATTCTATCCACTAAATGTAATAAGATGACCGAAACATTCACATGACATTATGAGGAAAACACAACAGCCAAGATAATATTGAAGAATAAAAGCTAGATAAATAAAATTTTAATAATTAGAGAATGTTACAGTGGCACAAAGATGGGTAAAGGGTTCCGAAACTGACCAACTGTCATAGCTTTAGTCCCCTAGAAAACAAAGCTTAAAGGCACGTTTACTTGCAGAAGCTTTACGGTGAGGAGGGGATACAATTCAAGACAGTCAAGCCTGAGGTAAAATGGAAAGTGATGCAGGTAAGGATGTAAACAAAATACAAAGTTGGTATAACAAATCACTCACTCTTAATGTCAAGTCCTTGGCGCTATAGAAAAAAACGGGGTGGAGGCTCACCTGGTGGCAAAATGGTTGAGGCACTGGATTCCCATGTGGTCAGCTATGGTTTGGATCCCAGACCTGGCATCTTGAAACTCAGGTGTGCATGCATACCCAGAATCACAAGAGGAGAATGGAGGAGAAAGGATTGCAGCATGGCCATCCCCTGTGAAGGGTGATTTCTTACTTTCTGTCTCTCTGTCTTTCCAGTGAGCACATGTGCCTATAGAAAAAAACTCTCTCTCAAAAAAAAGAAAGAAAATAATTTTTAAATTAAATCATGTCCTCATAACCTTATAATGGTCTTCAAAAAATTCCAATTGCATGGAGCTCTAACTATACAAGTTCATGAAGCGATACTGAAGAATACCTTTATGATCTTTGACCTGAGATGGATTTTTAAAATAAGACACTAAAACCACAAACTATAAAGTAAGAAAGAAAATTTGACTATACTAAAACTTAAAATAACAGCAAAGGATACAACAATTAGAATTTAAAAACAAGTCATACACTGAGAGAAAACATTTATAATGAATATTCTGCAAATATAGTCCAATAGATAAAAAGAATTTCTATAAAGAAGTCATTCTTTTTTTCGAGAGAGAGAGATTTTTGCCATAGGTTGTGTGCACTCACTGGAGAGACAGAGACACAAAAAATGAGAAATATGCCACAATCCCTTCTCCTCCATTCTCCTCTCAGGATTTTGGGCATTCACTCATGCATGCCCAGCTAAGCCACTGGGTCTGGCACTCAAACCACAGTCAATCACATGGGAGTCCAGCCCTTAACCACTGAACCACCTCATGACTCCTAAAGAAGTAGTATTTTTTTTTTCTAAGTGTGTTCTCACTTTCTTTTGCATAATTTTTAAATTTATTTATTTACATTCATTCACTGTACATCATTACAGTATACAAAATGAGATTTTTCCATCCAGAATGCACTGTATATTGTATTACCATGGATATTGTATTATTATGGATACTACCATACATGTCATTGTCAACAAATAATTTTCCATTTCTTGTTTCTTACATATTCCTCCCCTTAATCTGCTACCTCTCACTCTCTTGCCATTTCCCAACCTCTTCTCACACTATCTCTGGTATCACAGTTGCTTTCCATGCCTTACTTTTTTACATTTTATTGAGTCACAATACATCTTAATTAATCTAAATACTTTCAATAGCAAGTTGTAACTGATATATACATATCTATGAACACATGTCTAACTTTAGGTATAAAACGCAGTGAGTAGAATGAACACACTACAAAGTAGCAACCAGCTGGGGCTATGGAGCTTACTGCAGTCATTAAATAGGTATTTCTTACACAATTTTAAATTTATTTTATTATTGTCTATATTACATTGAATCAGATATATCTTTATGATTCTTATGCAATTTTTAATTTAAAGAAGAGCAGTTTTAGCTTTAATAGATCAAAATCTAAAAATGTTAAGAGAAATTTGCTTAAAACTTAAAGTGAGGAAAAAGTTCAGGATTCAGTTCAAACAGTAGCTAGATGAACCAAACAACTTAATAGAAAAGTTGTCAAAGTATATGAAGAGGAAATTTTCAAGCAAAGTAACACAAATGGCTAGGGAGATATGAAAAAAAAAAGTTCAACTGTTCTTATAGCATGAAATTATAAACAATAATTACAGAATATTATTTCATATAAGAAGAAAAGTTCTCTAATATCAATGATTGCCCAAACTATGGAGATTCCATAATATTAACATTGTCCTATTGGGCATGTATATTTTGGAGAAATAAATATTCATGTCAGCATTGTTTATGATGACATTTGAAGATTAGATTAGAAATTTTGACATATCCACACAGTTTAATACAGATAAACTCAAATAATCCATATTGAGGGATAAAAAGTAAGTTGAGAATGAGACACTTAGGATGACACCATTTATATAAAATGTCAACACACAAAGCAATTCTAGCAACCTAAATATGATTCATATAGTAAAAGTATAGCAACAAGCATGACAATAATTTATACTTAAGTCTGGAAAGTATTTCCCTCTGGGAGGGAAAGGAAGAGGAAGAATACAGGAAAGATTCATAGATCACATCAACTTCATCTTTAATGCTTTTGTTGCAAAGGAAAATTAAAAGCATCTAAGTAAATAAGGCAAATCATTTTTTAAAACTGATAAAACTAGAGATTACCCTAGAGCTCGTTTTTTCTCTATAGTTGGTCATGTGTGAATTTTTATCAAAATAAAAGAACAAATGAAAACCATTTTACTCTGAAATTCTTTTTCCAAAAAAAAAAGAAGCAGGCTTTTTTTTGGGTTTGTTTTTTTTTGCATCCCACTAGGAAATAGGGTATGCCAGGAGGTCACTTACCTGTGTCTAAGCGTTAGACTGGGTTTAAATAGAGAATTAACTGTTCTGTCTCATCTGCAGAGCAGCCACAGTGTGAAGGCAGCAGATTCTTCGGCTATCTGTAGCTTCCGGAAAGACGAAATTTGAAGAGAATGGAAACTGAAACTCACAGCACCGTGTTCAACTGGCAGCATGCCAACTGCCATTAAGTTCCTTTTTCCCAATTAGGAAGAGGGAGAAAGAGAAAACAAAAGGGGCAGGGAGCACCTGCGAACCGCATGAAAAAAGTTATCAGTCGCCTGTGTAGCTATATGTAGGTATTCATGAAATGGCAATTATTGATAAAAAAAAATTACAGTAAAACTAATAGCAAACATTTCTTGTGCCTTTAACTATGTATTTGACACTGACACTCCACAGCTATATGCATTTTCCTAGTTTCTCCTCAGAAGCACCTCATACACAAACACTACTAGTATTTCTATTTCCATAAGCACAAAAATGAAGCTAAGGGACCAGGAGTTAGCGTAATGGCTATGTCGCTGGACTCCCATGTAGTCGACCGCCATTCACGTCCCGGACCCGGTGGCTTAAAACTCACACCGTGTGCATGCGCGTGCGTGCCCAAGATCCCGAGAGGAGAATGGGGGAAAAGGGATTACAGTGGTGGCCATCCTCCCCCGGGGAGGGGGAGAGGGAGGGGGGTGATTTCTCGCTTTCTGGCTCTCTGGCTCTGTCTGCCTATCTGGCGAGCGCACGTGCCCTATAGCATAAATCTCTTAAAAAAAAAAAATGAAGCTAAAGACAGTAAATGACTGCCCAAGGAAACCCAGCTGATAGGATGATGGAGATGGCTAGTATTCAAAACCAAGTCTGTCTGCACTGGAATAAGCAGATGACGGCTCTACTCTTTCTAAATTGGTAAGGCACTGAGCAGTTTATTATCCCATTTATACTTTAAAACAGTCAACACTGGCCTAAACACTAGGGAAGGTAAAAAGTCAGTCAGAATAAAACACTGCCCCTGGAGAACACTGTCCTCAGGAAGTCATGTATCAGACAATTATACCGCAGGGCTAAGTGCTGTAAGAAGAGGAACAGGATTCCCTGGTATCTAGAACAGTGGCTCATCATCCTGGGATACTAGTTAGAGGCTTGTTAGCAAATCAGAATTCTAACTTGAGACTTGAAGTGAAGACAAGGAAGTGAAGTGAGTCAGAGCCTGGTAGCATCCGGGCCCTCCCAGTTTTGAATCTGTCTGGAACACAGTGAGGCCATTGGATTTGCAAGCCATTAGGCTAGGGAGTGATCAGGGCCCAGGAGGGCTTAAAAGTCTTTAAGTTAGAGGGCCCACAGATGGCGTGGTGGTTAAGGCACTGGATTTCCACATGGCAACCACAGTTCACATCCGGGACCTGATGGCTTGCTTTCTCACTTTCTCTCACTTGTGTGTGAGCATGTGTGCCCTATAGCAAATTAAATAATAATAATAAATAAAATTTAATAAATAATTCTTAAAAAATACAAGTCTTTAAGTTGGATTTTACCATGAAGACTTACTAAGATTTTACATTTACTTTTTTTTTTTTGGAGAGGTTTTCGCTATAGGGCACGTGCGCTCACCAGACAGAGAGAGACACAGAGACAGAAAGCGAGAAATCACCCCCCAGGGGGGATGGTCACGCTGCAATCCCTTCTCCTCCATTCTCCTCTTGGGATCTTGGGCACGCATGCACACGCGCCCAGCGTGAGTTTTAAGCCACCGGGTCCAGGACGCGAACCACGGTCGACTACGTGGGAGTCCAGCGACATAGCCATTACACTAACTGCTGGTTCCCAAGACTTACTAAGATTATAAAGGCAGAGAAAGGTATACTCAAGATTAAGTATCTTATAAAGAATGTCATATTTGTTTTCTCTTGCTTTAGAGGCTTTAAAATAAGTCAAAGGTATTTTCACACAGTTTCCAAGGATCAGGAGACCAGCATTGCTCAGCTGGTCTCCCTGCTCAGGATCTCTAACTCAAGGTGTTGGTCAGCTGTGATCTCACTTAAGGCTCTGAGAAGAATCTATTCTAAGATTATTCAGGTGACTGGCAGAATTCATTCCCTGGCAAGTGTAAAACTAGGTTCCCGTTTCCTTGCTGGCTGATAACCAGAAACCACTGGAAGCTCCTAGGTGCTGCACCAAGTTTGTTACCAACAACCTCACACACCCAAGACTCACACAACAGGGTGCTGGCGAAAGCCAGTTACAGGGAGATGCCCCACTGGAGTCACTGCTACCAAACCATGTTTATGGGGATACCTGAGAAAGCGGAGGGCTGCTGGGTGCTGCTCATCACTGTGCACTATAGGAGCTGGAGGTGGAAGCTGGAATGGTTGTGCCTGCTGCAGGAGCTAGACCCTGGGAAGCACACATGCCTCAGAATCTGCAGAACAGGAAGTAAAACCTGTCTTTTACAATGTCTCTCCAGAGCCCTCTACTGACAGCTTCCTATCAGCCGGCAAAGGAAACATTTACAGGGACTATTTCCATTTTCAGAGGCTGAGTTTTAATAAGTAAGGTGGCAGCTGTAAAATCGATAACTGGAACAGAAGAAGAAAACAAAACTGGAGAGTTTACTGTCATAAAACTATTATAAAACAATCACAAATAAGTGATATTCTCTGAATGTCTGCGTCCTCCCAAAAGTCATATGTTGATACCTAATCACTAATGTGATGGGATTAAGACTTCGGGATTCTGGGAGATAATCAGGTCATGAGGGCAGGGCTCTCATGAATAGAATCATACCTTTATCAAAGGGGATCCAGAGAATGGCTTTCCTTTCCACCAACTGAGGACACAGCTAGAAAGTGCAAATGACGAACCAAAAAGTGGGCCCTCACTACATACCGAATCTTTCAACTGCTTGATCTTAGACTTTCCAGCCTTCAGAACTATGAAAAATAATTTTTTATTGTTTAAAAACTACCCAATTTATGATATTTCATTATGGCAACCTGAACTGAGCAACTCAATAAGACAGTGTATTATTGATGCAAAGATGAACAAATTGACCAACTGAACTAAATTCAGAGATAGACTCACACATAACAGTCTCCTGATTAATGGCAAACACAACGCTTGAGTACAGTGAAGGAAAATGGTTTATTCCACAAATGGTCTAGGTAAACTGATAGGTATGCTGAAAAATTAATTTTGACTCATATCTCAACCATACCCAAAAATAAATTCAAAGTGGATTGCAAATCTAAACATGAATGGTAAAGCTATCATACTTTTAGAAGAAAAGAAAAATATATGAGAATATTTCCAGACCTTGGGGTAGGCAAAGCATTCCCAAACAGGTTGCAAAAACTCCTAACTATAAAATAAAAAAAGGTGAAAAATATTACATTTAATCCGGCAACTGTAATGCAATGGTAATTCAAGCTTCCTGCAAGGTCGGAAGCCACGGGACCAACTATGGGTTCAAATTCCAGGTCAGCCTAAAAATATAACATGCCCATATGAAGCAGCAACCAAGAGCCTAAGGAGCTGGAGGTCAGAAGAAAGGGGATCACAGCTTGATGAGACCATATCCAGAGTGTCTCTTGTCCTCTCTCTCTGCCATGCATATGCATGTGCTATCATAAAATATAAATTTTTAAAATTTAAGTATATTAAAACTAAGCCATTTTTATCAAAAGACACACCACTAGAAATAAAAATATATCCCACAACATTGGAAAAATTTACAGTTCATATATGCAACAGAGAACTCATACCCAGAATATTTTAACGACACCTACAAATCAATATAGAAAACTTTGCAAAGTTGCCATCTTCATTAGTCATCAAAAAAATAAAATTTAACCACAATGGAATTACATTACTCACCTACCAGACTGACTGAGACCAGAAATGCCAGCCATGTGTTGGCTATAATGTGGCACAACAGAAATACTGGCTGTGGAAGCATAAGTTGGTACAACTACCTTAAAAATGGTTGTCCAAGGGGCTGGCAGGTGGCATGGTGGTTAAGGGTGCTGGACTCCTACATGGCCAACTACCGTTTGATTCCTGGCCCTGGCAGTTTATCCTCACTTTCCCTTTCTCTCTCTCTCACTCTGTTCCTCTCTGATCAAATTAACATAAATAAATAAAGTTAAGTAAATAATTTTAAAGCTGAACATATGTGTACGTCATGAACAAGACGTTCTGCTCCTACTTGTCCATACTTTAATACATACGTATCACATTCATAGCAGCATTACTTGTAATAATCCCAAATATACCTATTAAAATGTCATTAATAAATTATACTATAATCTTTTTTTTTTTTTTTGGAGAGATTTTCACTGTAGGGCGCGTGCGCTTGCCAGACAGACAGAGAGAGACATAGAAACAGAAAGCGAGAAATCACCCCCCAGGGGGGATGGTCACGCCGCAATCCCTTCTCCTCCATTCTCCTCTCGGGATCTTGGGCACGCACACGCACGTGCCCAGCGTGAGTTTTAAGCCACGGGGTCCGGGACACGAACCGCGGTCGACTACGTGGGAGTCCAGCGACATAGCCATTACGCTAACTGCTGGTTCCCATAAATTATACTATAATCTTTAACAATATAGTCACAAGAGTTAATACTGAGAACAATGAAAATAAATAAACTCTATCTACATACAATATGTATAGATGATTCCCAAAAGCATAATATCAAATCAAGAAGTCAGATGACAAAATAATATGTACTATATGATCCTATTTATCAAAGTTCAGCTGAGAGCAATGAAAATAAATAAACTATGTCTACATGCAATATGTATAGATGACTCCCACAAGCAAAATATCAAGTCAGAAATCAGATGAAAAATAATATGTACTATATGATTCCATTTATCAAAGTTCAACCATAGTCGAAAACCTATTTATGGCAGGGCAGCAGATGGCATAGCACTTAAGATGCTAGACTTCCACATGGCTGACCACAGTTTGACCTGGACCCAGCAGCTTGAAAATCATGCCATGTACATGTGCATATGTGCCTAAAATCCCAAGAGAAGAATGGATGGCTATCCACCCTGCAGAGTGATTTCTCATTTTCCTCTCCCACTGTCTCTCTCTTTTTTTCTCTAGGCGAGTGAATGCAACCTATAGTA